TTAGGATTAGGTAGGAATAGTTTGGGTTAGGATTAGGTAGGAATAGTTTAGGTTAGGATTAGGTAGGAATAGTTTGGGTTAGGATTAGGTAGGGATAGTTTGGGTTAGGATTAGTGGTTAGCTAGGGTTGGGGTAACCTGACCTAAACCAGCAGCTGGGGACAGAAAAAGGAAAGATGAGCAGAAACCTGTTCAGAGCGACTCCTGAATTAAATCAGTTGTTCCTCAAAGCTAAAAATTGTAAAGGAAGAAGGTTTGATGTTCAAACTCTTCCAGATGAAGGATCTGAGGAGGCCTGGATGGAGACCCTGCTGTGGTCTCTGGGTTTCCTTGGTAGGATGTGTGAGAGCAGCTGTCAGGGTCCTGTCTGACCCCCCCCGTCAGAAAGGAGACGCTCTCGTTAAAATTATTTCCTTTTACTGCAGACTGTGTGGAGGTCGGAGCGACATCCTGTCCCTTTATCTCATCCTCCAGGTTCCTCTCTGACGTCTTCCTCTAACCGGTGGACGTCTCTGGCAGTGCTGAGCCTGCTTCTGTTCACCGTTTAGCAGATAATTCAGTTTGTTTCTCTGCAGAAGAAGAAAGCTTTGGTTGTGCAGCGTTTCTGTGTGATCGGCGGGGAAAGCTGCGGAGCTTTGGGCTAATTCAGAGTTAATCAGGGAAACCGATGTTTCTGCTTCTCTGCCGTGTCTCAGGCAACAGAACATTTTCCTTCTTTCTAATAGAACATTGTCCTGTTGCACAGAAAGCAACACGGGGCCTCCTGCCAGCCCTGATTAGACCAGAGGCCCCCAGGAGCCTTTGCTCTGAGTGAAAGAAGGCAAACCAGTCAGATAACAGCAGTCAGCAAGAGTTCACCGCCCTTCATCTGCAGTCAGAGAGCTGACTCTCTTCCTGTCTCTGCTGCTGCAGCTACATCCAGAACTCCCAGCCGTACCTGAACAACATGACCGCCGTGGGCTGCATGATGGCGCTGGCTGCTGTCTTCCCTCTGGGCATCGACCGCCACCACGTCAGGAGGCCCCAGTTCCCTGTCGTCTGCCAGGTGACAATCATCCATCCATCCATCCATCCATCCATCCATCCATCCATCATCCATCCATCCATCCATCATCCATCCATCCATCCATCATCCATCCATCCAT